GTGATTTATATAATAAATTTGATACTAAAGAGAGAGAAAAATATATGTATAAGTTAGCCAAACAAAGAGATATGAGTAATAAGAATTTAGTTCAAGTGAAGTGTATCAAGGATGAAGATTAAAAAATACTTTTCATAGAAGATGATATTTTACAAAGGTGGACGATATATTTTGCTAAACTTTTTAATGAACATTGTGAAAATAAGATTGACTGTAGTGACCTTAGCACCCTAAATGAAAATAAAGATTTCTTTTTTTATCGGCGTATCAGTAAAACCGAAGTTAGGGAGGTTTACAGAAAATGAAGGGTGGAAAAATAGTTGAGCCTAATGATATTCCAATAGAGGTGTGGAAATGTTTACGAGATGAAGGAATTTCTTGGCTTACAAAACTTTTTAATATTGTTTTGAAGACTTAAAAGATGATAGATAAGTGGAGAATGAGTGTGTTAATTCCTATTTTTAAGAATAAATGTGATGCACAAAAATGTGTAAATTATAGAGGAATTAAGTTAATGTGTCATACTTTAAAATTATGGGAGCGAGTTTTGGAGCATAGGTTGCGGTGTGATACTAATGTTTCTCATAATCAAAATGGATTCATGTTGGGTAGGTCGACTATGGAAGCCATACATTTATTAAGAGGTTTGATGGAGAAATATAGAGAAAATAAAGAGGATCTACATATGACATTTATTGATTTAGAAAAAGCATATGATAAAGTTCCAAGAGAAGTGCTTTAGAGAGTTCTTAAAAAGAAAGGAGTTAATAACGCTTATATTCAAATCATTAAAGATGTGCATGCATGAGCTATTACTTGTGTTCAAACACAAGGTGGTTTGACTAAGTATTTTCCTATTTCGGTTGGGTCACATCAAGGATCAGCCTTAAGCTCATATCTTTTTGCTTTAGTCATGGATGTTCTCACTAGACATTTGCAAGAGGATGTACCTTGGTGTATGCCTTTTGATGATTATATTCTTCTTGTTGATAAGACTAAAAAGGGAGTTGAAGGTAAACTTGAATTATGGAGGTCAACCTTAGAGTCTAAAGGTTTTCGCTTGAGTAGATCTAAAACGGAACATATGGAGTATAATTTTAGTAATAATAGACCTAGTGAAAGGATTGCGACTTTGAGCGATCAAGTCATTAATAAGAGTACATGTTTTAGATATCTTGGATCTATTGTTCAGAGTGATGATGAAATAGATGGGAATATTATCAGCAGAATTCAAGTTGGATGGTTGAAGTGGAGGAATGCATCTGGCTTATTGTGTGAAAGAAAAGTACCCCTCAAACTTAAGGGAAAATTCTATAAGATGGTGGTGAGGCCTGCAATACTTTTTGGTGCCGAATGTTGGCCATTAAAAGAGAATCATAATACTAAGTTAAGTGTAGCACAGATGAGAATGCTCAGGTGGATGAGTGGATTTACCCTTAGAGATAGGATATGAAATGACATATACGTGAAAAGGTTGGAGTAGCTCCAGTAGAATATAAGATTAGAGAGAGTCGCCTTAGATGGTTTAGTCACATAAAACGGCGGCCTTCTAATGACCAGGTTAGGAGAGTAGAGGTATTAGATTTGACTTATGTTAAGAAAGGTAGAGGTAGACCTGAAAAGACTTGGTAAGAAAATATTAGGAATAACCTTTCTTTATTAAATTTAATTGAGAATTTGACTTTTAATATGACACAATGGAGAAAAAGGATTCATGTAGCCGACCCCACGTAGTGGGATAAAGGCTTGATGTTATTGTTGTTGTTGTTGTTGTTGAAGACTAAAAGATGAAAAATATGGAAAACTAGAATTCTGAGAATCTCAAAAGCACTTCAAAGTATCTTGTGTAGGGCTTTATTATTTTGAGATATTTTATTAAAAATTCAAGACTTATATTTGTTGCGGGCTAGAATATACGCGGCGGTAGAGTTTACAAATTCACGTCTGAGCGTTGCACGAATATTCAACACACAAACATAAAAGAAAATGAACACCATGTTTTTTACGTGAAAAACCCAAAAGAGGGAAAAAATCACGGGGCCACGCCCAGTTGAAAAGTTTCACTAATGTTTTGTAAATTATAAGAAGCTGATTCGTCCCATTCGTCCCACAAGTCAGGACAATCAGATTACAATCTGTTTCTTCTAATTTGAAGCAAATTTACAAAGTTCTGCAGAATTCAGGCATCTCCTGAAAATCCGGCAGAGTTCCGGCGTATTCAGGCGGCGGGAAGAACTCCGGCGGTGATCGAGGAGGAGATGATTCTCCCTTTCCCATTTTTCTCTTCTCTTCTTCTCTCTTTTCTCACTTGAGTCCTCTTGTGAAGAATGAGGGCTCTATTTGTAGTTTTTCTGTAGTGGCATGGCTTGTAAATAGGTGTGAGATCAGGGACGAATAGGGAGTGGTCGAATGAACGGTTGATGTTGAACCCTTCGATCGTGCACCGTTCGTTGGACATTTGAAGGCCTTAGTGATCAGAATTCGGCGATCTTGGGCTCGTTGGATTCGTCTCGTCGAGCCATTCGATTCGAGTATAAGATCGTTAAAATCGGAGACCGTTTGGTAACTCAAATTGTGATTCGAACCTTCCAACAGCGCTTCAGGTCCTTGATTCGGACCCATTTGGGTTCGGATTGGGTCGAATTTGGTGCATTGGGTTATGATATAATCACCCTCATATCCTAAAGCTAAGTTGAGCACTACAATGTAGTAACTTAAGCTAAGTCTAACAAAATATAGTAGTGTTGTGGGGCTTATATGTCTTTGACTCTATAAAGAGCTTAGGAAGGTTCGACATTTATGAACTTATAATCATATATGGAGTGGAATCAGTGGCGAAGCCAAAAAATTTATTCTAGTTTGGGGGGGAGGGGGCTAAATTAAAATAGTTCTACCTCATTTGAAAGGTTAGAATATATTAAAATAATTTAATTTGTCTTTTCATTACCAGAGTGTCAAGAGGAGCTGTAAGATCAAAATTAAGAATGCAAATAACATGACCCTTAAAGCTTAGAAGACATAAGCATCTACCACAGGCGGTCTTCTTATGGGGGTGAGAGAGGAGCGAAAAGGAAAATGAAAGCCGTACTCAAGGTCACGAGTCACGAGAGAGGAGCAAAGGGGAAAACGAACCATAATTCAGGCATCCAGAAAAAGATGATGGTGACTTCTCTGGATTTATAAATAACTTTAAAAAAAATAATTACAAAAATTAGAGCAGGCTTTTAAGCTGTTAAGCCATCAAAACAATCAACTTTAAGTCCCTTTAGGTTTTCAGTTTTAGCTTTAGTCAAATTCTTTAGAGGAGATCTCTCATCCACAATGGAAAGTCATTCCTCCCTCTCTCCTTCAAAATTTTACCCCATTAATATTTCAGAAAGTTTCAAAATACTGACTCTTATTCAAGGGCCACAAATTTAATTGACAAAAACTAGTTAAATATAACTCCGCAAGACAAATTAGTTGACTCTTATAAGCAGAAAATGAACAATTGGGTTTAAACACATCACATAAAAAAACAACCTAGTGCTGGCTTTAGAGAATTAATTATTCAGTTCTTGAAATTATATATCAACAACAGTGTAAAATAAACTAATACGATAATGATAAAAATTTGTTATTTCTTCCATTCTCCATACCAATCATCGACGAGACTTAAATGTAAAGTTTAATGGGCGGTAGACAAATTTTCAAATTTGCCTTCATTATAAGTTTTTTTTTTGGAGTAGGCAATTGCCCACCCTCACATAAATATGATTCCACCCTATGGTATAGCAAAAAGAGGGTCTATTTCACTCATAAAGCTATCAAATCTAGATCTTATAGTTTTTATAATCATAATAACTCAAATTCTGAAGTTTTTTAATCTTTTGATGTATTTCAACAATTTGTTAAGTCTTACTCTCATCCTTGTGTCATAATATTCAAATGTAGTTTCAGCTTTATTCCATAAGAGTTCTATGGTGCTGTTTTTCAGAACTACAACGTATTATTGTGCAATTTTTGGAAGCTTGATATGATTATTTTTTGCTATTTTTTAATATATTTGGTGTGCAGGCTTCTTCTTTGTTATTGCAACATAGGCTTCATTTGAGACGACTTTCTTACTGCTTCGTAAAGAAGCTTTATAGCACAAAATTTTTAATTTTCATGCTACTTTAAGAAGCAATAAGAAAACTGTCTCAAATGAAACTTTAATCTCTTTTACAGAAACCCTGAAATGCCCTAAATGCCCTAAGCTTTTCTAAAGTGGCTTTCATAGGTTAGACCCAACCTTAGCCAATGGGATAGTGTCCTAAAGCTTCCAAACCACCCTTAAAACTTAAATTAATCACTTCCAACCCAACCCATGGTGGTCATTGGTTAACCACGATTGACCAATTAACCATGATTGACCTATATGAACCATAAAACTTTCTCCATTGACCAAGCCTTCATGCCTTCAAACCCTCGAACCTAAACCCTTCCATTAGGTACCTAAGACCCTAGACTAACCTCCCTAGCCAGCCCAAGCATTGGGCTGACTTGGGCCACCCAATTGGGCTGACAAAGCCCAACTAAAGTAAACCTAAGCCAAAGCAGTCCAGCCCAATTGACCCAAATCATGCTCAGAACTTCCCCGACCCCATTCAAATATTTTCTCTTTTATCTAAGCAGCAGTTTATGCTATAAAAAGAATATTTATGCCTCAGGAGTAACAGCAGCATTCAAGCATCTTAACGGTAAATGAAAGCATCAGCTACCAACTTTGCATAAATTATTATGTACAGTCACCGGATAGTCCAAAGATGAATCAGGATGTGCCACGTCATCTCGTACACAACAAAAAAATGATATGGAGCATCCTGATTCGTCTCTGGATGCCGTCCAATGACCGCACAAAATAATTTCTCCCAACTTTGACACATCAAATAAAAACAGTAAAAAATTTTGTAGGGAGCATTCTACATAGATTTTCCAACATGAACATTTGAATAAAGGCAATTCAAGTAGACCAAAGATCGAAAAGCCGAATGAAACTCTGAAAATTTCAAAGAACTTTATACAGGGTTACTGATTACATAATAACATCGAAAGATTTTAAAATTGTCAAAACTGTTAAAAAACTGGTGCATAGTCAGTGCAAAGATGGACAAAGAAGCCACATAGATTCAGAGAAAAAAAAATTATTGCTATTTGGTAATATGGATTCCTGTGATTCTAATGCATGTGAAACCACATTAAAGAATATATGGTGATTGAACTGTGAGAACTAAATCAAAATTAACTAAGTTGATCATTTGCAAGAAGTCTTGTGAGCTTACTTAGAGTTTCTCTGGCGGATATAGTGTCAGGGTGGTGCTCACCACATATAGAAGTCCTGATGAATATGGCCTTGCGAATCAGGTCATCACCCACATCATATTTCCCTCCTCTGAGCATCAACTTAGCTCTCGTTTCCAACACAGTAGCTTTCAAAAGCGCCAGCTCCTGCCACAGATAAGCGTATTGAGCATCAGAATGCCCTGGCCTCAAGCAGCAAAACGATTTATCAAACCATTTCTCAGCTCGAGAAACAAGGGACTCTGCAGCAACTTCCAGAGCCTCTGTGCAGAGCTGGAGGAGCTCCATTGCAGCAATGCATCTTGAAAAGGTGATGAATGTGTGGACGGCGAGCGGTAACGCTACACGTTTAATGAACTGCATTAGCTCGGATGGCTTTAACTCGACGACGACACAATCCGTCCCGAACCCAAATAGCAAGAAGCAGGCTGCCCACAAGTGCTCTGAAGACTGAGAAATGGAGCCCCTGAGCGAAACTGCCTGAACCATGGCTAACGAAACTCCGGCAGCCCCTCGCTTGCGAGCATATAGCTTGATGATTTCATGAAAGTGGATGCAGTCCGGCTTGCTACTGCTTCTAGCCACTCCAAACCTCACCAACATGGAAGATGCTTCAGCTTCTGTTTTCTTGATATGAGATCTTGTGAAGCTACAGGTGAACATATTCAGCAGGTGCTTCTTCCAAAATATTGAGCCACTGTGCTTTTCTGGAACTTTATGTGCTGCTAGAGCTAGTAGGGACACTGGCACTGCAGATGGAGCAAAGCAGCCGCTGATCTGAACCATTCTAGTTGCCAAGCTCCTTGGCCCATCTGCATGATCAAATATTGAAAGACAGACATCTAAGAGCCGGACGAGGAAAGCATGTCGTCTCAATGTAACACTATCTCTGTCATTCCATGCTGTATCTCTACTTGGGATCCTGTTTATAGTGTCCAGGAGTCTACTCGGTGTTATTGGAATCTCTGAAAGGATTGCTCCTACAATTCCAAGACCTAGTGTTAGCCTACCCAGTTTTTCTTCAAGGACCCTAAGGGCATCAATCTCTGTAACAGAGTAGTCTTTTACTCCCCCTTTCATCAAGGATAATGCCTCCCCACCAGATAAGTAGGAAAGCTTCATGGGCTCAAGGTTCATGACCTGAGGAAGGCGTGTAGTTATGATGAAATGGGTTTCCCCACCAAAACGTGGAAGGAAATCCATTAAAACTTTCCTATCCCACCAGTCCTTCTCACTCTCCAAGTTATCTATCACAACTAAAAAAGGAATATCCCTCATCATCTCTTTCCTAATCCTTGTGATGGCTTCATCTTCCTGCTTCTCAAAACACTTCAGTTTTCCCTTGTCAAGATGAAAGTTTTCTATGCTTAGATCAACTTCCAGAAAGTTTTGGAGGCTTAAATAATTCTGACGGATGTATCTAGTTTCCCCTCCCACCCACAGCACCAACTTGTATCTCTGAGAGTATCTGTATGCATATTCTAAGGCCAATTCTGTCTTGCCGATTCCAGAGTCCCCGGATACACAAGCAATCCCTTTGCCATACAGTATCTTCATTGATCTTTTCCTCCGATTATACCTTGTGCCATTTTTAACTCTAATAGGACGGTACTGCCTCACAGGACTGCATAATCTCTGCATCTCAATTTCCTTTTCTGATTCCTTCCATAGAACAGGTTCCTTCCCTTTACCACTGCTCTCAGATTGCTGACCCTTCGCATTGTCTTCTTCTTCGAAGTTTTCAGCCCGACCAACCAACACGCCTTTTCGTCTGTGCCTGGTTTTCAGCTCAAAATATTCCCTCTCCCCATCTCCAGTAACATCACCAAACAAAATAAGCTCCAATTCAGAGAGCTCCTTATTCCTCCCAACGAAGTCTTCATTTCTTGCAGAAGGGAACTCCTCTTTCTCCACCCTCTCCTTCCATTTATTTACTCTATCTACCACACTTCTCCTGCCTAGTTTAGTAGCCAAAAGAACAACTGCCTGTAGTATGCAGTCCCTCCAGTTGCCATCATATGCCTCCAGCTGCCAGTTCAGCGCCCGGGAAAGCCCATCAACGGCTTCTATCCATTCCTTCTCCAAACCACCATAGAGCATCCACAACTCGCCGCCATATTTCTCCCACAATTCCCCCCTCCTCTCAACAATATCCCTTGCAAGACAGTCGCAGGCACTGAGATCAAAGAAAATTGGACAGAGATTCTTCTTGCCCAAGAAATATTTCAGCTCCTCTATGCTGTAAGGATTGCCAAAAGATTTTTTGGTAAGGATCACAATCCCAAAGGATGATGCATGCATCATCTTCTCAACCGTATCACGACTACGGGAATTCCTGCACCGAGCTCGATCAGAAGCAAAACAGTTGATTCCCTGAAGCTCAAACTCCGCACGAAGCCAATTAGCAAATCTCAGCAAAGAAGGTTTCCGTCCATGAAAACCTATGTATACGTCGCAGCTTCTGAACCTCGCAGCAGAGGCAATTGTAGCTGGTGACCAAGAAAAGGAAAGTTTTGCCTGGCTGTTACCAAATCTCTTTTGCTTCTCTTTCCGTCCTTTATAACCATTGCTGGTTCTTTGACTGTAATTAGATGAACTGCAAACATCATTATTGGGGGAAACAATATTTGGGCTTCTAAAATTTGTTGTTGGGACTTCAAAATTTCTGGATGCATAAAAACTTGGCGTAGGTGAAATATCTGATGACAAACTTCTGAGGTTGGAGATTAATTCTGATTGTTCAAAAGCAGCAATGGAGCCAACATTTTTTCCACTTATAACAGCGCCAATTGAAGACCCAGCAATTTCTGTTTGGTTTTGACCAGGTTTACAAGCCTGTGGTGAACGCGGAGAGAAGAAAGGAGACTGGATTGCAGAGACAAATGCTGATGAAGAGGAAGAGAGGTTCCTTGATGTTGACAAGATACTAATATTGGAGCTTTCTTGCTGAAGCTCCATATATCCATCTTCATACACTGTCCTGCTTCAAAATATTTCAATTCCAACGTATTCAACGAAAGGGAGATCCACTGAAAAATCAAAATAAAACGGCCTTATATTAGCAATTAGTAAGAACTCTAAAAAAAAGAGTTTGTAGCAACTGCATAAGGTTGCTCATTGCTGCAAATGCGAAGTCTACTAAGTTGAGATTACAGGGAGGCTATTTCCTTGATTCAAAACTCATGTCATTTACATTTCTCTACCAGCTGAAGATGCCAAGGAAAGCTTCAGTTTTCAAAATCTTAGGATGTCACAAGATTGGATAACAACAAGAAATAATTAAATTAGGAGGCTAGTACAAAAAACAGGTTTGTCGCATCAATTGAAAAAAAAAATCTATGTTAAAGAGATTTTCTGTCAGTATAATGGGCAGAAACTCGGCTAAGCCTTCGAAACACACTAAATTTTAGTGCGAGGGAGAAAATGATGGATACGAGTAGTAGGATGGTGGACCCTTCACCCTTATGTTGGGAACGTGCATGCACAAAAGCGATAAAACAGATTACAAAAAAAAAAAAAAGATCGGATTTAAGTGGTTCAGACAAGTTGGCATATATTAATGATTGCAAAAAAAAAAAAAAAAGATCGGATTTAAGTGGTTCAGACAAGTTGGCATATATTAATGATTGCACAGAGATAGCTTTTACTATTTTTAGAGATGAATACAAGACAAATACGAGTAGTAGGATGCTGGACCGCTGTCTTGGGAAAAGTGTGTTAACAAAAGCAATAAAACAAATTCCGACGAAAATACCAAAAAAAAATCATATCAAGTGGTTCACAAAAGTTCAAATATGTTAATGATTGCATAGATATAGCTTCTACTATGTTTAGAGATGAATACAACACAAATATTTTAGATCATTTTTCATTTTTTTGCCTTGCTAAATCTCCCCTCCCCTCCCTTGAGTTATTGTGAATTATGAGACATTATCAGAGGGTAATTAGTCTGTCTAATTATTTTAGATAAAAGGTATAAAGCTTTAATTTGAGTTAGAATTAATATTACTTTTTAGATTTTAATTTAGACATAAATTAAGCTTATCTTAAGACAATCATATCAATTAGTTTAAGGGATGAAGAGTGTAAATAGTTGTTTTAAGTCATATAATTATGAACTTTTAGCATGAATATAGTTTCTCTATTAAGTTTTTATTCTTATGAGTATAAATTGGATGAATGATTCCTTCAAGTATAAGCACAATCCTAATTCTAGGCAAAGTCATCTCCTTCTATTGTGCTTTTGTTCTCATCTGCATATTTAATATTGTTTGATTAGACCTCTTGATATTGTTTAAATCACATCACAAATTCAATTTATGAGAAAATAAATTCAATTATTAATTTGATTCTAAATTCTTGTTAATTTTTCAAATTATTTTAATCATTTCCTTCATTTGGGTTCTATTGCTAGTATTGCATGCTTATATTTAAAGAAAGCATGCGGTTGAAATGTTTGGAGGTTTATGATATATGAATCCTCAATTTCCTACATATAGTCATACTAAACATTACATTAATTAAATTAGGAAATTCTAACCCTCCAGTCATATAGCATCATTTGTGTGGTGCTGTGAAATATGTTTACATTCATGGCAACATGGAAAAATAGTCTCCCCCCATCTCAATTCTCCTACTTTCACCTTTTCTCAAAAGCACCACACAAATGTGTTTCGAAAAATATATAAATATAAATTGCCACCCAGCCAGGAATATTTTCTTACAAATAGTGTCAAATTGTTGTGTGCTAGAACATTTGAGACAATGAAGAGAGAAATTAACATCTTTGCATTGTACAAAGATCCAACATACATACAGATAAAAGAAGAGTTGCAACAAACACCAAAATTTTTACATGAAAAACCCAAGAAGGAAAAAAAACTGAGAGTCCGGCCCAGTTGATATGATTCAATTAGTATTTGTTATCGGTTACAAATTATGCCATTCTCCATGAGTAGGGAAATTGTTGATACAATATACATAATGAATTTGGCAGAAGTTAGAAGTCTTATGGCATAAGATATATCTTCAAAAGATCATTTATTCCTTTGAGGGTAGGCTAGAGATCAAGAACTTCAATATAAATCTTAGTGTTAATGTTGGGAGTCGGAGTTGGTGTTTGATAGGAATATGATCTCTACATAACAAAAACAACAAGAACGAAGAGAAAACATGGTAGAAATTGGCGAGAAAAATTATGATTTCAGCACAACAAATTAAGATACAAATTGATCTACTATTCAACAAGTAGATCGACTCTCCACAAACCCTAGGCACCGCTAGAAAGCACTCCAAGAAAAACTACAACAAACACACCAATCATATAATGAAAATAAAACAACCTAATTAACCTTAATATAAACCTTCATACTTCCCCCCCAAATTTAAATTCAAATCAGTTCTCTTTCCCTCAATAAACATTTTCTAATTCCCTCCCAAATCTGAATTCAAATTAGCCCTCTTTCTCTAAATAAATATTTCATAATTCCCTTCTAAATCTGAATTCAAATCAATCCTCTTTCTCTAAATAAACTTACCTAATTTCTTCTCAATTTTTATTTTTTATGGTAAGTAATTAAAGTGGAATTAATCCCCTTTGCTCTTCTTGCCCGCCGCCCACCCTAGTGGGGCCCACATGCTCAGCCGATCCATCAATACTCCCTTTGAAAGAGCCACCTTGTTCTCAAGGTGGAACGAAAGAATGTTCTATTGAAGCACGTGACTAATGACACTGCAAAATGAACTAACACTAGGTTAAATGATCCCTACCTCCAGGATCTCTCTGATCAATCTCTCGATCTCATCCTTCAAAATTTGGGAACAATGGTACAGACGAACAATGATAGGTGAGACTCCTTCCTTCAAGATGGTAGCATGCTCATATTCTCTGATCAATCTCTCGATCACGATACTGTTGTAGGAGTGGTTGAACCATGTCTGGTGCTTCTATCTTCTCCTCATCTTCTTCTCCTTCCAAACTCTGCAGCTCCACCAAAAATCTCACTCATTCACCCTTTCCCCTCCTTGGAAGTGGTTCCAAAGATAGCATCTCCTCTTCTTCCCAAAAAATTTCCAACTTCAAATCCTCCCTCATCATCCCTATATTAAGGTTCCCACCACATCCATGTATAGTCAACAGTATTCTTGCCTTTGATGATGTCATCTTGGCTTGAAACTCTAACATCTTTTTCATCATCTCTTCCAGATTCGAAGGTCTGCACTCTGCCCTCAATTGCTTAAATTCTCTCTTTGAATCAAGATTCCAAATTTCTAACTTCCCCATCAAGCCTCTCCTCCAGCACATCAACCTTCTTAGCCGTCAAAGGTCCCAAAAAAGATGCACTAATACCAATTTGATATGAATCTGACCTCTACATAGAGAAAACAACAAGAACGAAGAGAAAATGCAGCAGAAATCGGCAAGAAAAATTTTTATTTCAGCACAACAAACCAAGATACAAGTTGATCTACTATTTGAGAGGTAGATCGGCTCTCCACAAACACTATGCACAGCTAGGAACAACTCCAAGAAAAACTACAGCAAACACACCAATCATATAATAAAAATAAAACAACCCAAGTAACCATAATATAAAGCTTCCTACTTCTCTCTCAAATCTAAATTCAAATCAGCCCACTTTCCTAAATAAACCTTTTATAATTCAACTCTCAAATTTGAATTCAAATCAATCATATTTTCCTAAATAAACCTTTCATATTTCCCTCCTAATCTAAATTCAAATCAGTCATCTTTCCCTAAATAAATCTTTCATAATTTCCTTTTAAATCTGAATTCAAACCAATCATCTTTCCCTAAATAAACTTTCATAATTTCCTCTCAATATGGTAGGTAATTAAAGTGGAATTAATCCCCTTTGCTCTTTTTGCCCACCGCCCACTTTAATGGGGCCCACAAGCTCAACTGATCCATTAGTGTCAAGGGCATGCATCAGGCTGGCTTATGGGAGATAGCATGCGTTAACAATGTTGTTGGTGGTAGGTAATGAAGTCAGCGAACATTAGTGAAGTTAGAAGACAATAGTAAAAGCACCGTAGTTTAGTGATGATAGTCGATGTATAGTATTCGAGAATGATAGTTGAAGGATCGCAATTGGGTGAATACCCAAATCTGATTTCAAATCAGCCCTCTTTTCCTAAATAAATCTTTCATAATTCCCCTTCAAATTTGAATTCAAACTAATCCTCTTTCCCTAAATAAACTTTCCTAATTTCCTCTCGATTTTGTTTTTTTATGGCAGGTAATTAAAGTGGAATTAATCCCCTTTGCACTTCTTGCCCACCGCCCACTCTAGTGGGGCTCACAGGCTCAGCCAGTCCATTAGTGTCAAGGGCATGCATCAAGCTATCTTATGGGCAATAGCATGCATTAACAATATTGTTGGTGGCAGGTAATGAAGTCAGCGAGCGTTAGTGAAGTTAGATGACAATAGTCAAAGGATCATAGTTTAGCGATGCTAATTGAAGTATAGTATTCAAGAATGATGGTTGAAGGATTGTAATTGGTTGAATATGTTCAAAGAACTGCAGTCGAACAATGGTGATCAAAGGATCATAATCATGTGACAGTAGTCTGAGGATCATAGTTGAGCAATAATGATCAAATGACTACAGTCATCGACCATAGTCATGTGATGTTGTTCGGATGACTGTAGTCAAGGAATGATAGAAAGAGGATCGTAGTTGGGTGATGGTAGTTGAACAATCATAATCAATTCATAATGGTCAGTGATGTGAAACAAAATGCGATGGAGGAGTTATTTTAAGAAATTAAAGAGAGCAGTTTTAACAACGTAATCCAAGATAAATTTATTGATTACAACAATGCTTTTGATCCTTAGAATTCTCAGTCTTCAACTTGTTTAGGCAAAGAAGAGCAAATCCGATTCCCAATTTAAGGAATCACAAAGAGTAAATGTAAAATTACGACGTTAAACAAGAATCCACAATTTAATAATAAGAACCTTCACCTTTGGAGCCCATACGCTCAACTAGTCTAGGCTTTAGCAGA